CCAGATCATTGAATGTTTTGGTACTTGACACTGTTCGGTTTCAGTCCCCACAGCCGAATACTTTTCCACTAATTTTCCCTTATGGTCCCCCAGACACCAGCCCACACTGGCGTCCGAGGCCAGAATACATCCCGGACCCACTGCTCAAATTGTCCACGTTCTTAGTAACACAACAAAATAATCCACGCTTGCAAATTTGAGAACTTACTATATTCACAAACTGTGGAGGCATGCCGTTCAGGCCTGTTAATCAGAACGTACCGGTCAACAGAGTCAACTTAGATTTGAAAATCCAGGAGCACGAAAATTGTGACTTATTTGTACGAGTATCTGACGGACTGGGAAGAAGTGGTCAATGCAACCTCAACTAGGCTAGCGTCCCTTTTAATGTTACTGAACCAATGCTTCATGGATTACCATAAGCCGAAGAAGTACACGTGACGCCAGTCTTTTCTTTAAGACTGTTATAAGCGGCGCTTACAGCACTCACTACGGGGTTTGTTTTGGTAAAGCGCACCGTTACCGATTCTCTCCGATTGTCTGGCACAGTCATATTTTCCAAAATGGAGACAAGTAGTAGACCAAGGAATTCACCTCTATTTCTGAACAATGCGGGTAGGACGTCATTAAGATCGGGAGCTCGGAAGTTTACACCACAATAGTCAGAGGAATACCAGTTGATCCAGCGAGACACCATTGGGACATTTGCTACTTGGAGGGTAAGAACATCCTCCGTACGTGTCGATCCCGGAAAGAATTATCTAGGTGAGCTCGCTGAGGTTGTAGCTTCATCTACTACTCGTCAAACGAAGGTTGCTCAAGTAGAAAACACATGAAATACTCGTCCACTATGGTAGCTGAAATAATGGACTGAGTATGACGCTGTGTCATTACTTCACCCCTGTAACGTGTGCATTCAATGCCGGATTCAGCTATCGGATAAAAACAGGGTTGCTGTTTAATTTGTATTGGAAAATTGCTCGAATTTCGTGAACAGCCCGCTACCAGTTTCACGCTGTTAGAATGTAATCACAGAATGAAAGATAATTGATCCCTAATCCAAGTGGCGTCATCAAACTAATTTCAAACTCACTCCCTCAAGGGATTTTTCTGGAACTGGATACTCAGTGGAATTCTCCGAAACCGAAACCACGGTTAATATACACTCATTTGCAAACTAATTTGGTTTTTTGAGAGACTCACCTGGAACCCAGCTGGGTCTCCCGTTTGTGATGTTCTCAGGCAAATGGATGTGCTGCACCAGCCCGCCTCATGTTTCCTAACAACATCACAAACGAGAGATTCAGCTGGGTTCCAGGTAAGTCTCTCGAAAAACCAAATTAGTTTACAAATGAGTGTATATTCGCTAATTTCGTGCTATTCGGTTTCAAGTAGAACATAAGGTTAATGGAAACCCGGGGACTGTGCCTACCTGATGAGCCCCAAAAAGGGCGAAACCGGTTGTGGACTGTCGACAGATTTTCAGCAACCTCATAAGTAGTACATTACAAAGATATACATGTATCGCGATAGGTCGCATATCGTAGCGACTGAAACATGAGGCGGCCTGATGCAGCACATTCAGATGCCTGGGAACATCACAAACGAGAGATTCAGCTGGGTTTCAGGTGAGTTACTCGAAAAACCAAATTAGTTTGCAAATGAATGTATATTCGCTAATTTCGAAACCATGGTGATTTTTCCCGCATATTGTAAAGCACGCAGGTATCCCACTGAGCCTCAGCTAGGGAGACACTAGTGATAGGCTATTCACGGATTTTGAGCAACCACCGATTACCAGCCACATTTCAAACTAAGTGAACATTTTTAGAGTAACACAGTTTTTAATGAAACCAAAGGCACAACCTGAATATTTACCAAGCCATGAGGTGGGAATTTTACCGTATGTTTGGGTCAAAGGTGGTAGAATGTCGAAAAACCCAGTAACACGTGCACCTTCGTGGCTGCTGGGAGCAAACAAATATGGGAATATAAATCGGACATCAGACCCTTTGATTAACAGCTTCAGGCTACAACATCTGGACTATACATCGAACAGTTTGTGATGCTGATGTGTAAATTTCAGCCTCTAACTTGCTTCACCTTCCTACCCAAGTAGAAGCTCAGCACTTGCCAAGGTGACGTAACATATGGTAAATCGCGGATAACCTGACTACATATAATTGCAGAAGAGTAGCTTTGACACACGTATAAGCCGGATGGCACAACGAATAAATAAATAACGTTGTGCAAACGGACACCGATACTGCGACAATACGTCATAGGGCTGATTTGATATCCTTGTTCAAATTTGTCAAGCAAAAGCGATACATCCACAGCTCCTGAGCTTGTTTTTACATACGCGTTTTATAAGTTATAAGTTGGAAGTTCCGAGGACGAGCGAATGGCTTGCCGTCTCTTTAAAAAAAGCCTTTAGGGCTTGGAAAAAATTTCGGCTGCACTCATTCACTTCCATGACCGCCGATCATTTTGCAACCTCTGGTGGACCCACATCTGACAGCTAGGACAGTGTCGTGCAAACAGGCGTGGTGTCCTATCACCCTGAAACCTACGTGGGTACAAACGCTCCTTCGTCTGACTATCATGATTGGAAACTGTTGTGTTCTAGATACTCAGCTTATTTGCTATCATGGACAATTTCTCGTCCAGCCCGATCTTCGTCCACCCTCCCATTTGAATGCATGTTATGATGCCAAAATGACCTTTTCTGTCTACTGGAGTAGCGGGAGGTGAACAGGAAACTATTGCAATATTCCTATGCATTTCAAACCCAACAAGCGCTTAAATAAGACCAATATGAAATTTGCCATGCAGCTGAGGCCTTTGTGAGAGAGGCCTTTTCTAACTCTCAGAAGACAAGCACCCCTCAACAAAGACCGGGTTTCCAAACAATCTGGCATCAAATACGTGCATTTTAACTGCATTAAGGATAAGGTTTTCCTTGTTATGGACTTCAAAGCACCACGTCCATTTGTAATTTACTACCTCCAGCTCAGCAGACTTAACCTACCTTCAGTTAGCATTGATAATGTTGATATCATTTAACGGAAAGTCATTTTGAAGTCTTACGGTTCTTTCCAAATCATTCACAATTAAAAGTATTGCCCCGGACATATCAAGCACCTAATAAACTCTAATCGAAGAAGGGGCGGAAGCTGGAGTAAGTGGGAGCTCAATTCTCTGTAAGTAGAATTGACAAATAAACATGCACCCGTTTGCTGTGATGAGAATCCAATCCATCTGGTTGTGTCAATCAGTCGTTAAACCCACTTGCTTCGGATTATGTGACATTTCATGATACCGACATCCGGCAAAACATTGCTGAATCATTTCTTCTCCAGCATAAATTCATTTGAGGATGGAAAATCTCACGCATGATTTTAATTAACGTGGTAACGGTGTTCTGAGAAAAATATAAAAGGACTTGCAGTCAAATCACGTGAAAATTTGGATTCAGGAGAATGATTCTAGTGTTCTTTTAGATTGGGATGACTTCGCACTTTCTTCTGGCAGCGATTTCTGTGAATGACCGCATAAATGTCTCTCATATTTTGATCTTCTTTATTTTTTGTTCATAAATGGATCGATTCATTAGTATGGATGCTTGTCTCATTTTATACCTGAAGCACAATGACATTGTGATAACACAACGCTTGTTAAAAGTACATTCCCTTTAACAAAGACCACCTTGAAATGAGGTAATATATAACTGGTCCATGTTCAGCCGTCTTATATGTATAGTTAGGATGTAAAGTAGTAGATTTCATCCATAATTACATCTAAGCTCTTTCTGTGTTACTTGTGTACATGAACAGTTTCACCTAACTCGAATATAAGACTTTTGGACAATGTGGGGTGTCACGATCATTACCACATTCGCCAAGGGTTGGGTTCGGCCGATCCAAAGTTTCGTCCACTTTGGAATATCAGTCAGTTGCTTTCAAATTAACGCAACAACAACAAACGGATGTAGAAAAAAGTGACTGCTGCCCGTAGGGAGTGAAAACTGATATACTCTTACCGTGAAGACTGCGTCCTAAACATGGCAACATATACTCGACTGTGGCCCTTGAACGACATCTCTCCCATACTAACTCATCAAGCAACAGAAGGCAAAAGAACCCTAGAAAACATCGAAAGGACTATAAAATTGCATGGTTGAAGATAGCTCACATCCGTCATATAGTTACCAAACAGAACCGCCTCTGGTGATTGTGATGAATCAGTCTTCTCCTTGCCTTGAGAAATTATGACGAATTCAAAGCCGAAAAAGTCTAAGGACTATAGTACTGATTTTGCATGGCCTGATGGTTTCAAATCGCGGAACAATCAATATTGATTTATCCACATGAATCATGTTTCAGTAGGACTGATTGCTGATGTAGAACATGCGGAGAGAGCCTGCAGTTTGAACCATGAGATGAAACAACGATAAAACCGGATAACTTACTAAACGTCTGTCTCTAACTGATTGTTCCTTTTGACTGGCCCTTATTGTGCTTATAAGGTGCGTAGACAACATGGACCTGCGGTTGATCAACACGCTCCAAACCGTCAATTTTTAAAGGATGAATAAAAAGAACTTGCGCTTCCGTCTACCTTGTCCGAACGGTGTTCAAAGTCTTTTTTAATCAAATATCCACCTGATTCAACAGAACCAGATATGTGTCACAAGGCCACTGATACATTCCTGCTGCCACTGTACAACAACCGTCAAAGTTATTTGATGTGAAATTGTTTAATCGAAACAATCAATTCATAATAGTGCATACTATTCCCAAGGTTGTTGGAAACTTCGACAGCTTATTACCGGCTCCGGACTTCTTGGAACTAACCATACCAAAGAGGTGTACTTTCTCATAGCCTTTTGTCTACGCCCTCACCCAATAAGTTAAAAATTGGCTGAAATTTCTCTGCAGGTACAACTGTTTGTCTTGATCCAAGGATTCAGGCACGAAATTGGGGTTTGAAGGCAGTTTTCATTGTTCCTGCAACAGGACATCCGGATTACCCTGATAGTCAATCGTATATCTATTAAGACACCTCTTTGGTGGACATCCAGTGGAAAAACCAAAGTGGCCTTCACTGCGGAACATCTCTTCTCCACGAACTGTGTGCACATACTTCCAGATACCCAGCAGAAAGTTTTGCGTACAATGCAAGCTTACTTTAACATGATTTACTTCATAAATGTGGGAAACAAATCTTTGATTATTCTTAAATAATCAGTAGGAGCCTTTTGCTTTTATGAGATTTTGAACATCCTAACAACTTTGTATTCGCGAAAGATGTGCTGAAAACGGATCCATGTACTATCCGATCTTCTAAATGAATTTTAGTCGTTCTCTTCCGTAATCCGGTATTAAGAGATACGTGCGTGAAGAACGGTCGAGCCGTCGACATGATGTTGATTCGTGTTATCAGCGGTATCATCGTTCCTTGCCTAGCGAAAATGTTTACAGATCGGCTTATCGCCTGATCTTATGGAGGACCCAGGAGGAAAACGAGTTACAAACGTGATACTGTTTACTCGGTCAAGTCCAAACAGTGCACCTTGGCTTTTCAGTGTAAACACATAAGGAAAAATATTTAGGTTCAGATTATGGTAGGTTGCGAAAACAAACCCGGAGGGTAACTACCCGACAAAACGAGTTTGTCACATGCAAGATCGGCTTGAAGTCATTACTGTTGACACTGTGATACACCTTCACAACTGTCGCGAAAATCCACGACGCCAAAGCATCAGCAACTCGAACTTCTTCATTTAGGGAAACTAATATCTCTCCTTTCTACTGGAGTCTTTCTAAGTTGTGAGACCGTCTTCAACGTTGTCTGTACTTCTAATGGAATTATCAAACATTAGTCTTTTGCTGATATGTTCAGGTAGAACATCTAACGGCGTACTGGAAAGAGCGCACAACTTGATCGGCCTCATATAACGCAACCAAACTACTGAATAATGCCATAGTTACACATGGAATTTACGTATCTAGTCTCAGACACCACTCATGAGTAGTGCAAACGGATGTAGTACGATGAAAAATATTAAGTAGGTGTTTCGTCACAGTGTGTATACTCACTGACAATCAAGCACAAACATCGGAACAGAGCAAACGCAAGAATCTTCTACTGGTTAGCTGTGGATAATGATGTTGTCAGCCGCGTTTCTGTCTGACCCGATAGCTATGTGCTCAGCAGACGGTCGCAGTTCTTGGTTAAGCTCAGTGAATCGCCCTTCTGCTTGAGGACATCCAAATTCAAGACGTTCTTAGCATAGTGGCTATTTCGCCCATGCAATTGCATGTTGTTTGAGTTAGAACAGTGGTAGCAATGTTGTGGAATGTAGGTAGCTCGGGTGCGTTGTTTGGTTGTTGGTCTGTTCGCCGAGCTCGGCAGTTGGATTGCAAACGTTTCATCACCAATCGAGGTGACATCGT